TCAAAAGGATACAGCACCATACACACATCGGTTTCGGCTGTGGAAAGATGGATGGTTTTTTAAAAATCGGATTTTTCCCTCCTAAATTTTTTTTTTTTTTTGGTCGGTGAAGCTAGCACTTGTTTGTAGAACTGTGGAAGAATGGCAAGGTCACACACTTTTTTTTTTCTTTCTCCATGATAAAGCAACCAAGCTGATGAGTCTGTGCTTGATTCAAGGATGACCAGTAGGAGAGAGAGGAAACCAGGGCGGGCGGGTGCTCTCTCGAAGGGAGAGGGGCTGACAGGTGAATTTCACAAAGGTGGGCGGGTCTATACAGAACACTGAATGCCGTGTGTAAATCCTCGTGAGACTCCGGAAACAGGAACACCACACAACGTATACACTTTGATTTACACATTCCGATACAAAGGGAAAAAGAGAGGACACCATTACAACTGTGTAACTGCGTTAACTGCAATAGAAACCAAAGTCCCGAGTTTGGCAGGTAACTAAGAGAGGGTTATCCACATCGGTTATATAGCAAAAAGTGTGGATGTATATTATATATAGTAGTATAAATAATAAAAAAGTATTATTTAAATTAGATCACAGTGCTGCATTATGTGCATAACAGTGTTTGATATAGTATTGGAGGGCCGGGACCTATGACACTAAGGATTTAACTGTCAACACTGGTAAGTCACAACTGGGGGGGGTCTGCGGGGGGGGGGGGGCAACAACACAGAGTTCATATGTGTTCTTTTGGTGGCAAAAATAAAAAAAAAAATCCTGAAGATGAAGAAAAAACACTTCTCTACAGAAACAGGAAACTAAATCGCAACATCTTGGCAGCTGTGATCCACCAGGAAGGACTCCCCACCTGAATCAAGTTTAAAGGGAAAGAGAAGTCACATGGAACCCATCCAGTCCAATCGGGAAGACCCTCCCGTGTAGGTCACTCGTCTGCAACTCTGCCTCCTTCTCCAAGAGCCCTTCTGCCAGAGGCTCCGGGCCTGTAGGCTGAGCAGTCCTGGGGCGTGCCAGGGAGGAGCCGGGCACAGGAGCCAACCAGGCGGCACCCACTCTGCAGAGCCCACAGCCAGATGCTGCCCCTCAGGCAGGAACAATGCTCTTTTGCAGGATGCCCCCTGGAAGGAACAGCTGGGCCCAGGCCCAGTGCTTCTCCAAGGAAACTCAGTTCTTGGGAAAGGCCTCTGACACGCGCCTTCACACACACACTCGGCAGCCACAGCGGTCTCGGCCACGGCTGTCTCCAACCACCCTCTCCACGTGGGCCTGGGCCACCTTCAGGTAAGACAACTTGACCAAAGAACTCTCCAGATACCGACTCAAGGCGGGGGGGAGGGGACATAGGAGCTTATGGTAGAGTATAAGGCTGGGGAAAAAATCTATGACGTAGACAAAGCCTTTCCACAGAGTACTAGTAGGTAGAGATAAAAGACCACTGTTGGAGCATAAAAATAACTGTCTATGTGTATGTCATTTAAGGAAAAAGAGCGATGGCCTCTTTCTCTTAAATGTGTCCAAGGGCCAACAGCAAGTAACGGCAGATGCCACGGTGCTGAAGTGTTCACTGCTTTCCCGAGCATCTGGAAATATTGCTATAGTTCCAACCCTCCCCCCCCCCCAAAACCCTGTGAGTAGGTGAGATACTGGAATGAATGACACGTGAAAACGCCACGAAAGCCAAACCGCCGCACCCCCCCTTGAATGGAGCCCGGGCGACAGGTCGGACGGATGGATACACAGGCTAGTGTGGAAGCTACAGGACACCGGACGTGTGGGAAGGAATTCCGAGACTAAAAGTGAAGGACACGCAAGCAAAATACTCTTTCACAAATAGGCTTGTGCTTAAATTCTCTGCTGCTCCGGGAGGAGGGGCGAGAGGGGCGCTCCTGTCCCCCCTCTTCCCCCCAACGGTGAGGGCGTGGACAGCTTCCTTCGGCAATGAACTCACTACAAACGGCCACATACACATTGATTATCCCCCCCCCCCCAAACAATCGAAAATACAAAGTTGAAACACAATTGAGCCATTGTTTTGGTTATGCATAATGCGTATGCCCCCCAAAACAGAAGGAAAATAGAAAAAAGTACCCTCACTAAAGTCCTCCCTGCAAGTCCCCCCGGCGGCCCCCACGGAGGGGCCGAGGGAGCTCAGGAAAATAACACTTAGAAAGCTGCCCAATGAGGTATTTATGCAAAAAGAGTGGTTCTGGAGTTGAGAACGCACTTTTATAATAAGAGAGTTATCTAATTCTCAAAAGAGATCAGAAAAGTAAATCACACACATTGCATTTTTATTATTTTCTAAAGGGGGCCTTTGCTCCTTTAGAAAAATGAAACGAGGGGAGACAGCCCACTGCGAGGGGGTTTGAAGTGGAAGAACCCCCCCAATCCCTCACCAGAAACAGTCCTGAACCTGTATCTGCCTTGCTGGAGGGAAGTCTGCATTTTACCTGGGGGTGGTGGTGGTGGTGTTCCCTGGGCTTGATCATGTGACAACACAAATCCGTGTCCCTCGGGTTTCAGAGCTGTGCATGGCTTTTGGGGTGTCCAATGTTGGGTGAGATGCTACATCCTGATTCCCTCCTGCCCCCTGACCGAAGATGCTGGAAGAGTTCAGGTTCAGACAACGAAGTCGACCTGGTGGACTTTGGGAGGCACACAGAGTTCCCTGCCCTTCACCCCGCGGACTGAGGTCCTGGGCTCTGTTTTTTTTAAAAATCAATGTGACTCACTTCCATCCCTCTCCCTCCTATCCTGAGCCACAGTGGTGTTTTTGTAGGTGTTTTACCACTTCCCTCCATTCGGGTGGAAGATCATATTCTCTGGAGGTTTCTCTTTGGGGCTCCCCAGTTGTGTTTAGGCAGAGAGAACAGGAGTCTCTGGGCTGCGCGGGGCATCGCCCTGTGGTCTATAGGTCGCTCCCACAATCTAGATGGGCTGACTTCCAGGCTGGTTCGTGCGCGGGAGGTGGTAGAGACAGCCGGCCCCTCCTTTCCACCGTGACAGGCAGTCACAGGAACACGGCGGGGCCGGCCCTTCTGCCACCTGTGTGGCTTCCCCCTTCACAGGACCCCTCACTCACACCCTCCTCTCATAAGGCCCGTCATCGTGCTTCCCTTCTCCTGGCGAATTTGCATAATTATCCACTGCCTCTTCCCTAGGACCAAACTGTGGTGGTGGTTTCCCCCAGCCAGCGTCCCCTAATTCTCTCGATCCTCTCATACACACTCACTACGAAGAAGTTGGCCCTCAAATTATTGCGTCGTGATACACATGTCCAGACAGGAGAGGACCCTTTCCACAGAGAGGCAGAGGGGGTTGGGGCTGAGGTGCAGGCATGGCAGGCCCTACCGGAACGCGAAGATAGTTTTATATTGCAGAGTGAGTTATCCCCAACAGTCAGAATTTGTCCCTGAAGAAGGTTAAACCTTAAACACCTGCTTCAAAAAAAAAAACCAAAACAAAATAACTGGGGGAAAAAAACCCAAAAACAAAAGGAAAAAAACAAAACAAGAAAAAACCCAAAGAACCTCTAAGCCTAACGGCTTCAACATGAGAGGCAGAGCCTTGTCTCTAGTTTCTATATTTATATGAAAATAATTCATGCTTCATGCTAAATACGTTATTTACCTTACAAGAACTTTATTTTCGAATAAAAAAAAGTTTTGTGTTTTTATGGTATTTTTTTTTTTTCCTTTTTCTCTTAGAAGGAATCCATGCATCGTGGATCAGAAATTTCTGCTGGCTACAACGGGCTGACTGTGGAAATCACTGATTTTTGCAAAGGTGGACCCTGACGTTATTTGCAAACTCCATTTTGAGGGCAGTAGAGTTTACTTTTGCCTTTTTGCCACATTTGTGTGTGTGTGTGTGTGTGTGTATCCATCAATGTGTCTTTCATCTTTCAAAAACAGACCGCCCTACTAATGGCAGGCTCCATAGCTTTCTGCTTGTTTGTTTTCGCTCGGATCAAATAGTTCTGACAGAGAAAAGATTTGTACCATTATTTCCTTCTTTGACGGCTATTGTAATTTCCTGGACTTGATTTTCACTTGGGCAGTTAAGAAAAACCACCTGTTGGTGGCTTTTCTCTCACTCTCGTGTGTGTGTGTGTGTGTGTGTGTGTGTGTGTGTGTGCAGGGCCAACCCTTCAGGCGTATGGCTTGTGGAACATTCTCTGAATTGAAGATAGAACAGAATTCATTGATTAGGAACATCACTAAAAACTGACCCCATTTCCTTTCCTACGTCATTGACACCAGTGTCTGCGAATGGTCCGGTGTCCAGCGCGGGAACACCTGGAGGCTTCAGGATTAAGCAGCACCGAGGCCCGGCGACCCCGTATCACCCACCCCGCATGCTGAGTGGCAGCGCCCAGGGTTTCCTGGCACAACAGGCTGCCTGGGGGGCGAGGGGCTCTTCCTTTCTCCCCGGGGGCCTCACGCGCATTTGCTCAGTGAACCCCACTGCGGGGAGGACACCCTGACCTGGGAAACCTAACGGTTGGGCCTGACCGATGGTGACTTTGCCTCGTAGGTGCCAGACATGGGCCTTCCGCCGCATCCTCCTCCTGGCACCCCTGCGGACCCAGCCTCGGGCCGGCGGGAGGGAGCAATGATATCAATTTTGGCTTTTTCGGTTTTGTCTTCAGATAATGAGAAGCGTTTGTAAAAACAGCTGAATGTCAATGAGTCTATGGCTTCAATCTCCTTTAAACATAAAATTCTCAAGGGTCCAAAACAAAGGAGGTGGGGGAAGGGGGGGCAACTTAGAGAAGAAAAGAAAGCAAAAAAAAAAGAAAGAAAAAGAAAGAAAAGAAAACCAAACCCAAAACAAAGAGAGAAAAAAAAATAAAAATAAAGAAATTGCTGATATTGCCACAAATCATTAGAAATCTCCTGACATGCTGAAACCAAATGGCCGTTCAGTTCAAAACAAATCAGTGACTTGTTTTTGTGGTGGTGGTTTTTGTTGTTGTTGTTGTTTTTTTAATTTTTCGTGGTCTCCTTCTGCTCTTTCTGCCCCTTTGCCGTCCGATTGGTGATGTTGTTCAAACAGGACCGGATCCCTGCCAAGTGCAGGAGCGACCCCGCCGCCTCCTTCATCTCCTCGTCATCGCTCTCGGGGGGCTTCTCGGTGCGTCTCTTTTTGAGGGGCAGCGAGTCGCTGGGGACCCGCCGGGCCTTGGCGAGGTGCTGGCGCTTCTTGTGCGGGGCGTCGGGGGGCGCCTCCCGGGGGCCATGCTTGTCCTCCTCGGCCTCGCTGTGGCTCCCGCTGTGGCCCCCGCGGCCCTGCGCGCTGCCCTCGCTGCCCTCCGGGCCCCCCTTGGCCGCCGCGGCGAGCTCGTCGTGGTCCTCGGCCGAGGAGGAGGACACCGAGTCGCTGGCGGGCGAGGTGCTCCGGGCGGCGGCCGCCTTGGCACTGCTGTAGTTGTGGTCCTCCTTGGGGTCCCCGCTGACCACCGGGGAGCCGCACGACGGCTCGCTCTCGGTCCGCGTCCTGCCGCTGCCCAGGCCGTTCCTGCGGGCGGGGACACGGAGGGGGGGGGGGAGGAGACAGAGAAGACTCGGGTGAGACCGGGCGAGGGGACCCCCCCGCGGACCCCACCTCCCCGCTGCGCTCAGGCTGCAAGCCTGCGGAGGCACAGGCTGGCCAGGCGCCACCGGCATGTTCGCTCAGTGTGTGTGGCTGATGCACCCCAGCAACACGCTTCAGAGGCGGCAGCGATGGGAACAGGGCCTCCCTCTGAAACCCCAAGGATGGAGCTGAGCTGGGCTTTGCAGACCCGCCAGTACGGAGGGACAGACTGGGTATTTTTCACGGAAAAAGGTGTGCCCCGCTGGCGCTGCTGCGTTAGGAAGACGGAAGCCAGTCTGCAGGGGAACGAGGTGCCTGCCGTGTGGGGACCGTTATCCACCCAGGCTTCCCTCCCTCCCCACTCATCCTGCATATATTCGCTGAGCGCCCCCCACGAACACATGGCCCTGGGAGGGTCCTGGGTGGGATCGGATACAGACACCGCCACACAGATGCCGACAGGTGACAGTTAGACCACAGAAGAGGGCGCACCCGCCAGGTGCCTGAGGATCTGTAAAGATGAAGCGGCACTGAACTCCAGAGCGGGTGTGAGCATCCTAACCGTACAGGTGCCACGAGGAGGACCTGACGTTTAGGGATTTAAGAGCCCCACAGCTCACAAGCAGCAGAGCCACGATCGGACCCGCTACCCCGTCAGACCCGCTCTGCTCCCCATGACTCAGTTCCCCGTCCTACATCCTCCTCAGAGCCCGATAGCACCCGCCACGCCTGATTATTTTATCGCCTCGTCATGTCTAGCAATGAGCAGACATCCTCTGTGCTTCCTTGGCAGCCGAGTGGGAACAGAGACTGCACCCACCCGCCGGGGTCATGGGCCCAGGACGTGAGCGAATGCCGCCAGGAGTCTGGACCAGCGCCTGCTGTCAGTGCCAGGGCTGTGGCGCCAAGTCCCGGTGAGGCCGCACACTCCTTGGGGTGGGCGCTGATCCCGTTTCCATGGCCACTGTGATATGATGGTGCCTGGCCCAGCAGGTGCTCAGGAGGCTGGGTGATCAGAGCGGTGAGTCCTCGAGGGAGGGAAGGGCTACTTGGAGTGGAGGGGGCAGAGGAGGCCGCAAGCAAAAGGTCTGCGGCAAAGATGGCTTCTGAAGCCGCAGGCAAGGGCTGAAGGCTTGGCGCAGGGAGGAGCATCCACCTGATGATACGTTTCTAGGCGATCTGGGCGACATGAGCCCACTTTTCCTTCCTGCAAAACCCCAAGTCCAGGTCCTCCACAGAGAGGAGTCCCCATGTCACCACGTGGTGACCTGCTCCCTGTCTCTGCTTCCCGTTGCAGCGTCAGCTCCGTAAGGCAGGGCCCTGTCACTGGAACCTCCCCAGGGGCGTGCACTGTTGCTGCAGAGTGAATACACAGCAGGGAGCAGGAAGTCTGGGAAGACGACTGGGGACCTCCTCCAACAGGCCTTATCGGACACTCCCTAAGGATACGGCCCTGGAAAGGCGCTGGGGTCAGGCCCACAGATGAGCTGTGAGTCCCGCCCCTTTCTCTCTTGCCAAGCGGGGGGTGGAGGGTGGGGGAGGTTGGGAGGGGAGGAGGGTCTACGGGCTCAGCAAGACTCTGGTTGCAGCCCCAACAGCAGCTGAAAAGGAGGCGAGTCCCTCTGGCAAATGGTGTATAGCAGGGAGGTCAAAGGTCTCCCTCCCTTCGGTGCCCTCCTAAATTTAAGCTGGTGGGAACATGCACCAGGTGGTGGCACGCACCAGCCTAGCAATGCACACCAGCAGAATACACGAGGGCCGGAATTAGGACTCAGCCTCTGCTAGACGCCTCAAGACCTCATGACCAGCCTCACCAATCACAACGTGTGCATCTGCACAAGGACGTCCCAGCAGGTTCCAGAAGGACCCCAGGTTGTCCTGTTCTCTAGGATCCCAGATCCATGCGACCCTTCCCCTCCAAGTACTTATAGAAAGAACTTGGCTTGTAAGACAGACAGACAGACAATCACCCAGCACGTTTACTTGTGACCTTCAGCGTGACCCTCTGCCTCCCAGGGCAGGGTGACAAATGAAAAGTCCGATCTCCTGTGCTCTCAGTGGGCACAGGAGAATTCTGACTTGGCCTTCCCTCGTGTCAGATTGCTTGCTTCTGCACCGTGCTTACCCCGAGCGGTGCCATTTCTGTCTGTCTGTTCTGGCTCGGGAGCCGCATGGGGAAGCAGCACAAAGTAGGAGCAAAGAGGCCCGAGGGAAGAAATGCTTCAGGGACTTGCCCGTCCACACTGAGCTATGGGGAATGGCGTCGTCTGTGTATCTGCGTTCTGCAGACTTCCTGCTTCTGGCTGCCTTGGGGAACATAAAAGTGGCCGGGAGAGGATGCCTGCGAGGTGCTACCACACAGGAAGCTCTGTTCATGTACCTGATTGCACAGGCAGCTATTAATAGGCAAATGAAAACAGAATCTCCCAGAATGGCTCTCTCGGTCTTTGATGTTTCAGTTAACTACTGTTGAATCTAAAAATTAATTCAGGAACGAGTCCGCCAAACTAAGCAAGAAAACAGTTTCGGGGTGAACTCAACTACACTTGGGTGGTGAGCGGGGCTTTCTTCTAGGCTTTTAGAAAAGCCAGTTCAATCCCGAGTCCTTGCCTTTTAATAACATGGGGCTTATGACTCACTTTACTACCTCTCTAAGCAGACTATGATACCTCCCTGAATATTTGTGGAGAGGGAAGGAATTGTGAGTGCAGAAGAGTAGGAAATAAGGTAAGTGCTGCAAAAATCTAATTCTCAGAGAATCTGGGGGAAAGGCATATGGTGTTTATCATGCTTTTCCCTTCTCTTTGCACGGGTTTAAAAAACGGGTTTTTAAAAATGTTTTTATTGATTTTAGAGAGAATGGGAAGGAGAAGGAGTGAAATCCTGATGTGAGGAACATCAATCACCTGCCTCCTGCACGCCCCCTACTGGGGATCAAGCTCACAACCTGGGCATATGCCCTGATGGAGAATCGGACTGTGACCTCCTGGTTCATTGGTCCCTGCTCAACCACTAAGCCACGGCAGCAGGGCCCAGCTGAAGTTTTAAAAAGCAAATCCTCTCTTGGAGAAAGGACCCCAAATTTAGGTCACGAGGATTTCCACAGATTAAGTTCAAGCAGATATTGGAAAAGAAGCTCATAACCTAAAATCACCAAACATGTCAGCAAGCAGGCCACCGGGAACATATAAATGTAAAGATGCTTGTAACCGGCCAGGGCACAAGAATGATGGGACCCTCCATGGGCTCCCGGGGAGAGGTAACGGCCTGCACAGGCGGCCGGTGCGGATAAAGTCAGCCCAGTCCCAGCCCCAGCTCCAGAGGGGACCAGAGACAAGAAGAGCCTCCCCTGAGGATTTTTAACCACAAGCTTGAAGCCTTGTGGGTATGAAGCCAGAGTTCTACTGTATGGACCAGAGACTGCAAGCTAAATCTAGTTTAAAGTGCCCAACGGTGCCTACTGTTGGAAAATACACACATAAACCCTCCTTTCTGGAAGGACCCAACTTGAAACCCAGACCACAGAGAATTCCCACGGATAACATTTTAAGAAACATAGGTTCATAATCCAAAACCCATTAAACATAAAAGAAAGTAGCCACTGTAAGCAAGGGACAACAGGAACACACACACAAAACTACAGATTCTGAACTGTGAGTCTACAAATGTTGAAGTAACTATAACTAGGTACAGAAGGTAAAGATGCATAATGAAATAAAAGGGAAGGGACTGGAACACACTGGAAAGGAAGAATAGGTGATTAAAGCCAGGCAGACAGATTCTGGGAGGCATCAGGTAGAGTTTCTAAAGCTGAAAAATAGAATCCCTGAAATGAAAGAACTCCATGGGAGCCAGAAGAGAAAAATTAGTGCAATAGAAGACGGGGTCTGAAGATTTCATATATATATATATATATATATATATATATATATATATATATATATATATATATAATGCAGCACAGAGAGACAAAGGGATGAAAAATATGAAAGAGAACATGGACTATAATAAGCTACCCCTCTAACCTGGAGTTCTAGAGGGAAAAGGAAAAAATGGAGAAGATCCAATATCCGAATAAAAAATGGCTGAGCATTTTCTAGTTTGGATGAGGGTAGCAATCCTCAGATTCAGAAAGCTAACAAAACCCAGCGAGAATAAATAAAATGAAATCCATGTCTAGACACATCACAAACTGTACAGCATTAAAAAAGCCACAGAAGCAAAACATACACCTAATGAGGTGTACAGTAACATGAAGCAGTGAAACAGGTAAAAGCAGAACATTACTTCCAAAGTGCGAGACAGAAAAAATAACCGTCAATCTAGAATGTGTGTCTGGTAACACTCTCTTCTAAGAATAAGGGCAAAAGAAATGTATTTTCAGGGTTTTAAGTGAGTGCAGATACTCACTATAGGAAGTTTTTAAAAATATATTTCAGGAAAAAGGAAAATGACCCAAAAAAAGGAGTTTTGAGATGCAATAAGAGAAGATAAGCAAAGAAAATGTAATTAAGTATTGACTGAACAGCACAATAAAACAAAAAGAAACTAAAACAGAACCAAGTATTGGTCAAATATAGCATTTTATCTGGGAGATAGAGAACAGAAGTGAAAATATTCTAAGGGCCCTGTATTGATCAGGAGGCTAGAGATATTGATTAACTTTCAACATTTAAAAATATTCATGTCAAAAGTTCCAGGATCAACACTGAAAGAAGAGAAACAAAATGTACAACTTCCAAACCATTAGAAAGGGAAAGAAAGAGAAACGAGGAGTGAAAGAATCTTGATCAATTTCTAGTAATGCTAGAAAGAAAAAAAGCATCTGAAAAAAGTGGGACAGAAATGCAGAATAAATGGGAGAGAAAAAACCAAATACATCATTAAAAATTGGCTAAAAATCTTTGTTAAAAGGTAAAGATCATTGACACAAATCCACAGCC